GCTCGATAAAAGAGAGAGATTGTAGCAATTACTGGACGGTTGACTGGCCTCGTGGTAACTGTAAGAATATTAAGGTGTATCTGTTTTTGACGTTGGACTAGGAGTCGCTTGTATTGTGCAGTGTCGCTTGCATGGAATGGTATTGTAAGGGATATAGGCCTTTTGAGACGATTTGAGCTGAGAGCCTCGTATGAGATAGTAGCCATGGATTGTATGACGTGAGGACTATCGGTACTGAGAGTATAGGCGCTTGCAAGTTGACTGAGCCTCGTATGAGGATAGGTAGCCTTGGGGACGGTTGACCTTGAGCCCCTCGAGTTATTGAGGATACTGTGAGCACGCTTGAGCGTTGACTGAGGCAATGCGGGTTGGAGATATAGCGCCTGTGGACGGTTTGACTTGAGCCTGGACGTAATGTTAGATATAGCCTAGACCGTTTGCAATTGATGCCATCCGTTTGTATGAGAATATAGCCTTGACGTTGAACTGACGCATCGGTAGGAAGATATAGCCTTGACGTTGACCATGAGCAATCGTACGTGAGATATAGCCTTGACAGTGACTGAGCATCGGTATTGAGATATAGCGCTTGACGTTGACTGAGCCTGCGGTATGAGATATAGGGCCTTTGACGGTTTGAGCTGAGCTTCGGTATGAGATATAGCCTTGACGTTGACTAGACGCATCCGGGTGCGAGATATAGCCTTAGTACGTTGACTGAGCCTCGGTAATGAGATATAGACTTGACGCTTGACTGAGACCTCCCGGCTAGACGAGATATACGCCTTGACGTTGACTGAGCGCATCTTTTGTAGCGAAGATATAGCCTTGACGTTGACTGCAGCCTCGTAATGAGATCGTAGGCCTTGACGTTTGACTGAGCCTCGGTAGCGAGAATATAGCCTTTGACGTTGACAGTGAGCCCCGTCGCCGGAGTACGAGATAGTAGCCTTGACGTGTGTGACTGGAGGCCATCGTACGAGATATGAGCCTTGACGTAGGGGGGGGTTGACTGAGCCTCGGTAGCGCAGATATAGCCTTCTGACGTTGACTGAGCCCTCGTATGAGTATATAAGCTTGACGTTGACTTGAGCCTCGTATTGAGATATAGCCTTGACGTTTGACTGAGAACCCGTATGAGATATGCCTTGAACGTTGACTGAGCCTCGTATGAGATATAGCCTTCGACGTTGACTGAGCCTCGGTATGAAGATTATAGCCTGACGTTGACTGAGCCCTCGGTATGAGATTAATAGCCATTGACGTTTGACTGAGCATCGGTGGCGAATTACGAATATATATTATGCCTACTCTCGTGCAGAGAGGCCTGGCACTTGCATACTTGAATAGAAGTGCGCGTGTGTGTGGAAGTGAATTAGAACGCATGGCTGGCAGAACGCTTCCACGCGCGGCCTCCGTCGTGCAAAAGGTAAAACACGACGGAGAGCTGGCAGGTGGCGCCGGCGTTCTATAGCGCAGCTTCGGAAGCTATAGCGAGCCACTACACCACACAAGCGGCCGAGCTAGGCAATTAAGCACGATTTGCGAAACTCAAACTGTGAAACGCCACGCCACACTTTCGCGCGGCGCAGCGAAAAGCCTGATTACTTTTGTGAACACCCGCCGTCTCTCACGCTCCTCGCCTACTCCTCTCCGCCACTGCAAGAAGTCTTTGATTTTGATGAAGTCGATGTAAAGGGCGGGACGCTGCGAAATGACGCTAGCCCGTGTTGCAATATCTGCGCTATGCAACCGTCATTTGCTCCGGCCAGCAAATGCTAACCAAACGCCGGCTCTGTGCTCACGCCACCTGTCCTTACTTGAACCGCCTGTTAATGTTTTTTTTCGAAAACTCGGTTCTCGCGCACGGCGCGTGCCACGCGCGGACGATAGGCCGCGGACCGGGGGAGTAAAGGGTTGTTGGCATTCACGCCGATCAAGTTGCCTGTTAACACATGGGCACCGTTATCTCGGCTTATTGCCCCGAACCAGCCCGTTAACGGATCGATGCAGCCTCGATACGTATAACGGTATCATCCCGTGGGGAGGCTGGCGTTTGCAACCTGCCGCTCACAGCGCACGCCTGCCAACCGCGCTACGCCGCAGCGATACAACAACTGATTATGTGATTCCGCCAGGCAAACACACAGACCGCCGTAAACGTCAGCACCCAGAGCCCGTGACGCAGGCGCCCCCGTTATCTCTATCTATACGAACGGCCTAACGAAATACGATCGTCAAACAAAACTAGTTATCATTTCGAATAGATTTCACACGACTTATCGGATCGCCTCATTGGTCGTGAAACTTGCGTTCCAGATACGTGCTAGCTATAGATGTGACTACACCTATTTTTCAGAGATTTTCCACTCGCGTCTTGAGTCTTGTGAGTGTTTGGCGTTGCTTCTCGCCCGATCCGCCGCGACGACACCACCCGCTGCCCATAGTATCATTGTGACAACTGCCGCAGCCGCCGCCGGCAGAGAACGATACGGGTGCGTATCTACGGTAAGGCACGCGCCGACACGTCGGCCATCTTGTTTTCTCTTCTGCAAACGTCGCAACCCGCGAGCGTGTTAAAATTCGATCATAAGTCACGCGATAAAAAACAGCGGCGTTATATATTACCGCGACCTGTCGCATGTGCGGTCTATCTTGCTTCGCCACCGAGCGCGTACATCCCCGAAATACACCTGCCCTCTCCGCGGCGATAGAGAGTGGATAAACAAACAAAAAAACACAGCGCGTACACACGCGGATATATTAGAATTGCAGGCGAGCCGCGTGATCGGCGGTGTTTCATATGCCTGCCGTGACGCACGCCAATTTCCACTTTCCGCGAACGTCCATTATGCCAGGCGGAGACCGCTAACCCCCATTATACTAGTCACGTCTAATTGCGGCGGCAAATAAAATTATAC